AGACCGTGCCTTAAGAAGCCCTGGGGCTGGGACTGGAGAAATGGCTCTACCATTAAGAGCATGTATGGCTCTTGCAGAGGGCCTGAGTTCAGTTCCTAGGACCCACAGCAGGCAGCTCACAACCACCTACAATCCCAGTTCCAAGGGATCGGATGCCTTCTTCTGACCTCTGCCAGCAGACATGGATGACATTGCATGACATGGGTGCAGTTACATGCATACAGACAAAACATTCATACACATAAAAATAAATCTTTAAAAAAGTTGTATTGTGGGGGCTGGAGAGATGGCTCAGTGGTTAAGAACACTGGCTATTCTTACAGAAGACCTGTGTTTGAATCCCCAGCACCCACGTGGCAGCTAACAATTGTCTGTAACTCCAATTCCAAAGGATCCAACGCCCTCTTCTGTCCTCCTCAGGCACTGTAAGACAGGTACACTTACATACATGTAGGCATAACATACATATAAAAAAAAATAAATACAAAAATATTTTTTAACAATTGTATCATGCCGGTGTGGTGTGGTGGCGCACACCTTTAATCCCAGCACCCAGAAAGCAGTAGCAGACAGGTCTATGTGAGTTCAAGGCCAGCTGGTCTACATAGCTAGTTCTAGGCCAGGCAGGGCTACAGGGAGACCCTATCTCAAAAAGAAAAAAAAATTGTATCATCCCTCAATCTACCTTTCAAATATTACCAAAGATACTTTGCTAAGCAATGTCGGATTTCAGCCTTAACAGCCTTGTAACCAACACCATGACAATGTGTGTTACAGTTAGTTCATTGCAAACAGAGTGATGATTTATCCCAGTTTTCTTAGAACTTTCCAAGTTTTAAACTGAAAGGCCCTAGTTTGGGGAAACTCCTCAGAGGCAGACAGCTGAGATGATCCATCACCCTCAGCACCCAGGACACAAGGCATAAAGTTTTCTTGCTTGAAGAAACCTGAGCCAGACATGGTAGCACACGCCTTTGATATCAGCACTTGGGAGGCAGAGACAGCTGAATCTCTGTGAAATCAAGGCCAGCCTGGTCTACATAGTTCCAGACCAGCTCGGTCTACAGAGAGACCCTGTCTCAAAAAGAAAAAAGAAAGGAAGGGAGGGGAGGGGAGGGGAGGGGAGGGGAGGGGAGAAAAAAGAAACCTGGAGCTAGAAAGATGACTCAGCAGTTTAGGGCACTGATTGCTCTGGTAGAGGACCCAGGTTTGACTCCCAGCACCCACGTGGCAGCGAGTGAGCATCTGTAACTCTAGTTCCAGGGGATTCGATGCCCTCTTCTAGCCTCTGTGGGCATTGCACCTCATGGGTACACTTACACACATGGAGGCAATACACTCATACACATTAAAAAACATTTTTTTTTTCTTTTTAAAAAAATATTTGCTGCCATCCATGGTGGCACATGCTTTTAATCCCAGTGCTTGGGAGGTAGAGTTAGGCGGATCTCTGTGTGTTTGAGGCCAGCCTGGTCTACATAATGAGTTCCAGGCCAGCTGGGGCTACAGGGAGACCCTGTCTCAAAAAGACAAAAATAATATGTGTTTTAATTATGTGTATGCATGTGTGTCTGTGTGGGGGTATGTGCACATGAGTGCAGGTGTTCAAGGATGTTAGAGGTGTCAGATTCCTTGGAACTGAAGTGACAGGAGGTTGTTAGCTGCAGTACATGGTTGCTGAGAACTGAACCTGAGGCCTCTGTGAAAGCAGTATATGCTCTTTTTTTTTTTTGAATTGTTGTATATTGCATACAGAAAATCATCTTTATATTCCTTTCCCCTTTGGCACCCTCCCATAGCGCCCCCCCCCCCCGGAGTTTACAGTTTACACCTTCTGTCATTTGTGTTAAGGCCTATTATGTAAAGTTAGTGTCCCCAGATGTCCCCCAGTACAAGTTCATCCACTGGAATCTAGGCAGTCTATCTAGAAGATAGACTTTAAGTCTTTAAGAAGATCAGCTCATTCTCACCCAGTAGTAATCAGTTGCCAGTAATTCTTCAACTAAGATAGAGGTCTACTGTCCATTTCCACAGTTCTGTGTTGGGTTTTTGTCTGCTTGAGTTTGAATGGGTCTTGTGTCGGTGCTGACACCATTGCTGAAGGCTCCTATGAGAAGAGCCCCAGGAGCCTGTAGGACTATTACCATATAGTCGTGCACCTCCTCCCTGGCTCTTACAGTCTTCCCACCCCCTCTTCCACAATGGTCCCTGAGCTCTGGTTGGGTGGATATTAATATAGGGGTCCTGTCCGGGGACCACACTTAGCAGACTCTTACTCTACACTTTGGCCATTTGTGACCTTTTGCGTTCCTGGCCCTCTGTTGCATGAGGGAGCTTCATTGATGAGAAACGAAAGATGCATTAGTGCTCTCTTCATCCCTTGTTCTATGTTCCATGAGCCTTAGGTATACAGGTTGCATTCTAGATGTGCCACTTGGGCTTGGGCAATTCATAGACAATCTCTCTGTAACTGCCTCTTGAAAAAGAAGCTTTTTTGATGGGTGATAACTGGGATACTTATCTATAGATTTAAGGATCCATATTAATTTGTCTAGGGATGCGACAGCCTTGGAGTTTTCTCTAAGATGTATGACCTCTCCAGCTATGTGTATTTGGATAAAAAAAAAAAATTTTTTTTTGGTCTTTTGGAGACAGGGTGTCCCTGTAGCCCCAGCTGGTCTAGAACTCACTTTGTAGGCCAGGCTGTCCTTGAATTCACAGAGATTTGCCTGCCTCTGCCTCCTAAGTGCTAGGATTAAAGGTATGTACTGCCAGGCCCAGCTACCAGCCATATGTCTTAAGGAACACCTAAAATATACCCAGCATAGGACGGGAAGTGATGTTTTCATTTTATTTCATTTTATTTTATTTTATTTTTTAATTTTGGGGGGAGGTCTTTTTGAGACAGGGTCTCCCTGTAGCCCCAGCTGTCGGGAACTCACTATATAAACCAGGCTGGCTTTGAACTCACAGAGATCCGCCTGCCTCTGCCTCCCAAGTGCTGGGATTAAAGGCGTGCACCACCATACCCAGCCCTTATTTCATTTTAATATATTGCAGTTAATTAATTAACTAACTTTATGTGTTAACTTGTTTATTTTGTAGGAAAGGTCTTGCTATGTATCCAGGTTAGGTTTTGGTGGCTTAGGGTGTTTTTGTTTTGTTTTATTTTTGTGACAGGGTCTCAATATGTAGCCCTAGTTGGCCTGGAACTTACTATGTACAGCAGGTTGGCCTTGAACTCATTGAGATCCTCCTGCCTCTGCCTACCAACTGGTGGGACTAAAAGTGTGTGACACCACACCCAGCTCCAGCTTGGGTTTATTTATTTATTTTTATTTTCTGTGTATGAGTGTTTCACTTGCATGTATGAATGGACCTATGTGTGCAATGTCCTCATTCTGGCCAAAACCAACTTGGGGAGGAAAGGGTTTATTGTAATTTACTTTGCCAAATGACAGTCCATCTTTGAGGGAAGCCAGGGCAGGAACTCAAGCAAAGCAGGAAACTGGAGGCAGGAACTGAAGCAGAGACCATGGAGGAACTGCTTACTGGCTTGCTCCTCTGGCCTGTGCTCAGCCTGCTTTCTCGTACAACCCAGGACCACCTGCCCAGGGGTGGCACAACCCACAGTGGGCTGGGTCTTCCTACCTCATTCAACAGTGAAGAAAATGCCTCACAGACATGGCCACAGGCAGTCTAATAGAGGAAATCCCTCAGTTGAGGTTCCCTCTTCCCAGGTGGGTCAAGTTGATGACCCAAGCCAACCATGACACATTTCACAATTACCCAGGGAGGTAGGTGCTTCTGCCAGTAACCCTACAGAGACTCCATGAAAGAGAAGTTCTGCCACGCTCCTCCCTTCCAGGGACAGCCAGAAGTTGGGGGAGGAATAAGGGACAAGAGAGGAGGGAGAAAGTGTCCAAGATGCCCTCCCCCAAGGCTGACAGTATGATGCGTATTGACTCCACAGGAACGATGGGCAACGCCTGGCATTGCCCCTGGCATCCAAAGGCACTTGGACTTCAGTGAGAAGACAGAATGCACTTGTACACAGAGAGGAGCCTGGGCTAGGCTTCCCACCTGGGACAAAACCTCTTCCGTGTTTGCTGTGGATGGTTCCCTGGCATCCCTCCACACAGGCATTTCTTAAGCTTGCCTGGTCCCTGGGGCTCAGGGTGACAGAGGAAGAAGCAAATGTGATGCCCGCTACCCCATCTGTGCCTGGGAAGATGATGACTCCAGGGTCAGAAATAACCCCACAGTCAGCTTCCACATGCCATGCTTCCCATCCCTTCCCGGACTATCTGGGCCCTGAGTCAGAGGGAAGAGTCCAGAAGTGGAAGGGGACCCAGGTCATGCGGAAGGGAAAGCACAGAACCATCCTTCAGATTATTTGATGAATCAGAGGCCTAGTCCTTCAGAAGTTCCCGCCAAAATTTTCTTCCCTCAGGGAAGGGCAGACCTGGGCTGTGGAGCTTGGGGAAAGACAGAAGACAGGCCAACTTTCTTTACACAGAGGGTAATAGGGGATCGGGAATCTGGGTCTTACTCTCAGAGGTGTCCCAGCTGTAGATACCGAAGCCTGGTCCTGCCCTCAGGGAGCCCTAGGTCCCTTGACACAGAGGTACATACATGGGAACAATAGTCTACTGGCTCACAGGATGAGAGGACAGAGCCATCCACAAGTCAAGTGCCCCTCCTTATTCATCCCCTCAAAATAGACTGGACACCCCCATCCACAGCTGAGTCACCCACCCCAGTCCTCCAGGCAGACTTGGGATGAGTAGAGCGCTCACCCCGACCCCGTCCGCCCCCTGCCCCTCCCCAGCCCAAAGGACATGTAACTGATTCCCCAGGATGGAAAAGTGACTTCCACAACCCCTAAAAATAACCAGACCACTTAATACTCTCAACATAGCCCCTCCCCCGCCCCCACCCTCACCCACCCCCATCCAGCCAGATAAAGGCAGCTGCCCGGCTGGCAAAGAACCCTAACCCAGAGCCAGGGTAGCGAGAAGGCGTGAGACCCAGGAGCAGAACAAATCTGACCCCAAACAAAGGACTTCAGCAGAATCTCAGATCCTAAGGCCACTCCTGCTACATACCCAACATATCCTGCCATCAGGACCCTCAGTGAGTACCATCCCATCTAGCCTTCCAGAGCCTGGCTGGTGCTTCAGCCTGGGGCCCTCTGGATCATGCAGCATGGGTGTTGAGAGTGGACCTGGACCTGGTTGGGGGGGGGGGGTTAAGAGTCATGTGGGTGCAGGTGCATAGGGGAGGCCCTCAGAAAGAAAATCCACCAGGAAGATAGCAAGAGTTTGTGTGAACCCTCAACAACTCTCAAAGTGGCTGCCACAGGCTGGGGCTAATCCATGACACAAGATTTCCCTGATTTGGTATAATCCAGAAAGACTTGCAGGCAGTAACTGAAGTTTTAATTTTTTAATTATATGTTTGTTTATTTTGTGTGTGGAGGGGTGTGCCACAGTGTAAGTGTGGCAGTCAGAGGATGTTTATTCTTCTTTCCACCGTATATGTGAATCGCAAGGATGACTCAGTTCCTCTGGAGTAAGACAGCAAGGACCTTTACTCACTGACCCATCTTGCTGGCTCTGTAGTTTTGATTTTCTAAATGCAGCTATGAGGCTCGGATATAGCTCAGTTGGTAGAGTGCTTGCCTAGCATGGATAAAGCCCTGGGTTCAACACCCCAGCACCACATAAAACCAAGCATGATATAGCATGCCTATAATCCCAGCTCTCAGGAGGTGGAGGCAGGAAGATCAGAAGTTCAAGGTCATCCTCAACTACACATCAAGTTTGAGGCCAACCTGGAATATACGAGAGCCTGTCTCAAAAACAAATAAAATGCAGACATGGAACCCAGGGTCTCGTCCCCTGAAAGCCTCAGGCCATTCCAGGGACTGAAGGAAGGAGGGACAAAAAAGAGCTGAGGGCATGGGGTAGAGGACAGCAGGTAGGCCAGATGTGGCCTGGGACAGACACATTGCCCAGCTGTTGTAGGAGACAGTCTTGGCATATCTGGTGCCAGGGATTTCCTCCCCAGGCTGGCCTGAGCCCAGCTCCCCTGTGCAGCCACCTGGGCGGGAAGACACTGCCCACAGGCCATTGTCTTGCCCCAAGGGAAAGCCCTCAGACCAGGTCTGGGGTGGCTCAGGATGAGGAGACCAGATATAATTCTGCCCAGTGGTAGACATCTGGAGTAGGCTGGTGCCAAAGAGAGGACTCCCTCCTCAGAGGCCTGAGCAGCTGTCCCAGCCTAAGAGGCCACATGGAGGACAGTTGGTTTTTGTTTTAGGGAGTTTTGCTTTTGTTTTTGATACAGGATCTCACTAGGTACCTCTGGCTGGCCTGGAACTTGCTATGCAATTCAGGCTGGCCAGGAACTCACAGAGATCTGCCTGCCTCTGGGATTAAAGGCATGTGCCCCCACATACTACTTTTTTTCTTTTGGGGGTGTGGGGGAGGACAGTTCTTGAGACTCACTGTATTTTAAATCTGGCCCCAATCTTTCCCCCGGGGAGTCTCAGCCAAGGAAGAGTGGAACTGGGAAGGCCAGGAACCAGGCAACCTGCCTCAGGCATTTGACCCCATTGCTGAGCCTTCTTGGAAGCTCCTGGCCCTTCATTAGGCCTGTTTCCCCTAACAACAAGAAGTTAGATTCAGTGGTCTCTGTAGATCCTTAAGTCTGACCTCTTTGCACTCTGTGACCCTAACAGGAATTCTGGAGATTCTGGGAATGGGGCTGGGGCCTTATAAGACATCTGCTCAGGCCACCCTTGTGGTGATAAGATGGAACAGAAATGGGGACAGGCACAAGTTTGTCTACATGGGGTCTCCTCATCTGCGCTCAGAGACAAAAGGGCCCACCCAGAGGGTTTACTTTCAATTCAGGCAGAAACCTCCTCAGGGCTCTGACACCCTTGGTGGACAGGCCAGGATGGGAATTAGGCAAGCACTCCTCAGTATCCTCTCTCCTCCTTCTGAGGCAGCTGCAAGGACAAAGCCCTACCTTCTACCTGTCACTAAATCCCTGTATCTGCCCACACCGTCAAGTCCCTTTAACCAGGGGAGATCTCCTGGTTGGCCTACAGGCCAGACCCCTGGTGCCTCAAAGGAGTCAGGAATCTTCCAGGAGCCCAGAGCAGTGAAGGAGATGACACAGGCATACAAGCCATGGGCAGCCAGGTCTCCCTGGCTGAGCTAAACCTCCCTCTCAGCTAAGGAACCCCCCTCCCTGCTAAGGCCAGGACCTCAGCTATATTTAGTGCCAAGTATGGGGCGGAGCAGTGGGTCAGGGCAGCAGGAGGGGGGCACATACCTCACATTTTTTCTTAATGGCCTCTGGGGACTGTCATAACACCTGTCACAAGGCAGATAGAACATACATTAGACAGAGACCAGAAGACGGCTGGAGGGGTGCAAGGCCACAGAGGGGTGGGGGTAGAGCTAAGAGGCACACTTTGGTGGAAGCTGATTGACATAGAGAGGGAGGGTGAAAAGGGAGGCATCAGAAGCTAGATTCTGGCTGAAGGCCCTGCCCCTAGAGACTGTGCTTGCAAGAACACAACAGAGGAGGGCTCTTCATGAACCAGGGACGGGGCTCCCATGTCCAGTCCCGTCCTGAGCTATCTCTGCAGAAAAGACCCTATTCCCATAGTCTATCACCACTCCTCAAGAGATGTCATCTTCATATTCTCCTAACGGTGCTTGTTGAGGAATAGAGGGGGCGCCATCCCCTACCCTCTTATTTCTTGGGGTCAGGCCTTCAGTGAGACCCCACTGTGAGATCAAGGCTTCACTGTCCAATTCATTCTGGAAGAGATGCTCTGAGCCTCAGGTGTCTCATCTTTAATTGAGACCCCCTTAGTTCAGGGACTGAATGGGAATGCAGATCCATTGGTAGAGCACTTGCCTAGCATGCACAAAGCCCCAGGTTAGATCTCTAGGTTTGATCACCATCCGCACAGAAATCAGTCACAGTGGTACATCCCAGTAACCTCAGCACTTGGAAGGTGGAGGCAGGAAGATCAGAAGTTCAGGGTTACCTAGGATCATTGGTTTGAGGTCATCTTCATTTACAGAGCCACTTTGAAGGTAGTCTGGACCACATGAGACCCTGTCTCAAAAAGGAAAACCCTGACCTGAATTTAGAATTTGGCTCTGCCTAAACATGAGCAATTTCCCCTCCCTAAGCCAGCATGGGCTGCAGACCCTGGGGCCTGGAAAAGGTTGGAGTGAACAGCCAGCCAAGAAGTCAGTTTTTCTTGGGAAAAAGTTTCTGGTCAACATGTCAAGTGTGCCCTCTGGTGTTTTGCAAGGGAATTTCACCACCATAGGAAATCACTGTGCTCAGTTTAGGGTCACCTTAAGTCAGGATTCTCCCAGGTCACTCACTGGAGAGTCCACCAGGGAAAAATTATTATACTTTGAGACAAGGGCTCCCTATAGACCAGGCTGCTCTTGATCTCACAAAGATCCACCTGCCTCTGCCGCCTGAGTGCTGGAATTAAAGGCATACGCTTCTGAGCCTGGTGAAAACTGATTTTGACAAAGGAAGGTGAAAATATGCATCTTCAATTTTCCCACTGGAGATTTGGATCTCTTGAGGGACTGAAGGAAACAGGCCATCTATTTCCTGTTTGATCCCCAAAACCCAGGGGATACTGGGAAACAGGGACTCACCTTGATGGATAGACAGGACTTGTCAGTCACAGCCAGGCCAGGACCCAAGAGGAGGGAGCTCTTATAGGAGTCACTCGGAGCTGCTGAGTCCCTGCCATTTGTCCCAGCTCTCGCCTCATTTGCCTCTCTCTGTTGTCCTCAGAAGGATGGCTGACTCCCAGACGCAAGTGGCTCCTCCACCCACCATCCCAATGATGACTGCAGAGGACTTGTCCCTCCCTCCTCCTCCAGCCCCAGAGGATCTGCCACCACCACCACCAAAGGAGTCCTTCTCGAAGTTCCACCAGCAGCGGCAAGCCAGTGAACTGCGCCGTCTCTACAAACACATCCACCCCGAGCTCCGCAAGAATCTGGAGGAGGCTGTGGCTGAGGATCTGGCAGAAGTGCTGGGCTCAGAAGAGCCCACTGAGGGCGATGTTCAATGCATGCGCTGGATCTTTGAGAACTGGCGGCTGGATGCCATTGGCGACCATGAGAGGCCAGCTGCCAAGGAACCTGTGTCAGGTGGTGACGTCCAAGGCACCTCTCGAAGGTTTGAAGAAGGTTCTTTTACCAACAGCACAGACAGAGAGCCAGCTGGACCCCGGCCGTCGGGAGGTGACGTTCAAGCGGCCAGACAGCTGTTTGAGACCAAGCCACTGGATGCACTGACAGGCCAGGAGGAGGCAACAAAGGCGACTGTGAAGGAACCTTCAGCCAGTGGAGATGTGCAGGGTACCAGAATGCTCTTTGAGACACGGCCACTGGACCGGCTGGGCTCTCGCCCCTCCATCCAAGAGCAAAGCCCCTTGGAGCTACGCTCAGAAATTCAGGAGCTGAAAGGCGATGTAAAGAAGACAGTGAAGCTGTTTCAGACAGAACCTCTGTGTGCCATCCAGGATGCAGAGGGTGCCATCCATGAAGTCAAGGCCGCCTGTCGGGAGGAGATCCAAAGCAATGCAGTGAGGTCAGCCCGCTGGCTCTTTGAGACCCGACCTCTGGATGCCTTCAATCAGGACCCCAGTCAGGTACGGGTAATCCGGGGAATCTCCCTTGAGGAAGGGGCTCGGCCTGACGTCAGTGCAACACGTTGGATCTTTGAGACACAGCCTCTGGATGCAATCAGGGAGATCTTAGTGGATGAAAAGGACTTCCAGCCATCTCCAGACCTCATCCCTCCTGGTCCAGATGTTCAGCAGCAGCGGCATCTGTTTGAGACCCGAGCCCTTGACACTCTGAAGGGGGAAGAAGCAGCTGAGGCAGAGGCCCCACCCAAGGAAGCAGTGATCCCTGGTGATGTCCGCTCCACCCTGTGGCTATTTGAGACAAAACCCCTGGATGCTTTCAGAGACAACATCCAAGTGGGTCATCTCCAGTGGGTGGGTCACCAGGAGAGTGAGGGGCTTATGACTGAGTGTCTATCTAGGGAGGGCACCTCACCCTTGCCCCTGTCTCAGGATGGCCCCCAGAAGGATGGGATGAAGGGGGATGTGAAGACCTTCAAGAATCTTTTTGAGACCCTTCCCCTAGACAGTATTGGGCAGGGTAAGCCCTCAGTCTCTGGGAGTGCAAACAGAGCAGAAACAACTGATTCTGTTGGGCAATTCCAGGGTACAGGCTCCCCCGTGTATGCCATGCAGGACAGCAGGGGACAGCTCCATGCCCTGACCTCTGTCAGCAGAGAGCAGATAGTTGGAGGTGATGTGCAAGGTTACAAGTGGATGTTTGAGACACAGCCCCTGGACCAGCTGGGTCGAAGCCCCAGTACCATCGATGTGGTCCGAGGTATCACCCGGCAGGAAGTGGTGGCTGGGGATGTTGGCTCTGCTAGGTGGCTCTTTGAGACGCAGCCTCTGGAGATGATCCACAGACGAGAACAGCAGGAACGGTGGGAAGAGGCAGGGAAGGGTCAAGAAAGCCCTCCACCTGAGGGCACCCCAAAGGGTGATGTACAGACTATCCGGTGGTTATTTGAGACCTGCCCCATGAGTGAGTTGGCAGAGAGGCAAGAATTGGAGGTCACAGATCCTACAAGTAAGGCTGAGTCACAGTCATGCACCTGGATGTTCAGGCCTCAATCTCTCGATCAAGCAGAAGGCTGTAGGGAGCAACACCTGCAGGTCCATCAGGTCCAGGCTGGGGAAAGACAGACAGACAGACACGTCTTTGAGACTGAACCTCTACAGGCCTCGGGCCGGCCCTATGGGAGAAGGCCTGTACGGTACTGCAGCCGAGTGGAGATCCCTTCGGGGCAGGTGTCTCGTCAGAAGGAGGTTTTCCAGGCACTAGAGGCTGGCAAGACAGAGACACAGGCATCCAGAACAAGCCCTGGGCCCATCCCCACAGGTTCTGTGCACAAATTCACCTGGCTCTTTGAGAACTGCCCCATGGGCTCCCTGACAGCTGACAGCATCCAAGGAGACAACACCCAGGAAGAACAGCCCAAGAGCCCTGCAGACCACAGGACCCCAGAGAGGCAGGAGACGGCAGCCAAAAGGACCCTCAGGACTCTACACAGCACTCCTGGCATCCTACACCATGGAGGTATCCTCATGGAAGCCCGAGGACCCGGGGAACTCTGCCTGGCCAAGTATGTGCTCCCAAGTCTAGGGCAGGGACATCCCTACGTAAGGAAGGAGGAGCTGGTGTCTGGTGAGCTTCCCAGGATTGTCCGCCAAGTGCTGCGCCGGCCAGATGTGGACCAGCAGGGACTGCTGGTGCAGGAGGACACAGCTGGCCAGCTCCAGCTCCGCCCATTAAGGCTGCCAGGTCCAGGTGACCCTGGGAATATTGAAGACATGGATCCTGAGCTCCAGCAGCTGCTGGCATGTGGCCTTGGAGTCTCTGTGGCAAAGACTGGGCTAGTAATGCAGGAAACAGATCAAGGCCTAGTTGCACTGACTGCCTACTCGCTCCAGCCCCAGCTAACCAGCAGGGCCCCAGAAAGGAGCAGTGTGCAGCTGCTGGCCAGCTGCATAGACAAAGGAGACATGAGTAGCCTACACAGTTTGCGGTGGGAGCCACCAACTGACCCAAATTCCATATCAGCCAGTGAGGAGTCCCAGAGGTGTCTCCCAACTGAAAGCATCATCCATGTCCCCCCACTGGAGATGGGTCACCTGAGAGGTTCAGGGGACACATCCTGCCCACCCGCAGCTCGGGCCATTGGAAAGGTGGTCTTTCCACCTGCAGGAGCTGAAGCCCCAATACAGGAGGCAAGAAGGCAAATAGACAGCAGTTATGCTGGGCAAAAAGGGAAGGCAACCCCAGGAAAGTCAGAAGGAACCGCAGCTTCCTCTCTAGGGTCTGGGACCCCAGGCCTCCAGGAAGCCATGCAAAGCCTACAGATGGCAACCACTGAGGCCCAAAGCCTGCACCAGAATATTCTAAACAGGCACCTGCAGGGCTCCACCTCTGCAGCCACCCCCATGTCTGTCCAAGATGGTCTTCTACAAGCATCAACTCCTGCCACTGGGGGTACCCAGGGCAACATCAGGCTTATAGCCAGAAGTGACACCAGGATCCCTGCAGCCCCCAGAAAGGTCAGTGGGGACCAGAAAGCAGTCCCCAGAGGGCTAGCTGGGGGGTGGGTAACTGTGCAGGATGGTATCTACACTGCTCACCCTGTGAGAACCACTGAGCCACCTGGGGCTGCCCAGCCTTCTGAAAAAGAGTCCCAACCAAGGGGCCGGGAAACTATCCTCTCCACTGAGGCTCCTAGTCCACCCCAGGCTGATTCAGGTCAGAGTCCTGGGGTAAGCCATCAGGAACCTGTGGGTCATACACAGAGGGCCTGGGGACCTCAGGGGAAAATAATGGCCCAAATCTGGCCAGAGGGCCTCCGAGCTGCAAATACCACTCTGAAGACTGCCCCTCTAGCTCACCACACTCCGGCCTCAGGGCCCCAGGCTGCAGGTGCCAACCTGCACTCCCATAATGCCTCTGTTCCTCCCCCTCCTACTCTCCCAGCTGCTGTGACAGGACCTGACCTCCCAGCTCAAGCCCACCATGATGAGGACTCCATCCAGCAGGTCTCCAAGGCCCTGAAGGACCCCCTTCTTCACACCCATCACAGCCCTGCTGGCCAGAGAACCCCTGAAGGGTCAGAGACAAAGAGTTCCAAACCAGAGCCCACCCTGCCTCCGAGGAAGAAACCCCCAGTACCGCCCAAACCTGCACATCTAACCCAAATCCACCCTCCTCAGAGGCTGCTCAAACCCTCAGCTCCATCTCCCAGCTTCTCAGAGGTACAACAAGACCACAAATCAGGTGAGCCAGATGCAACCAGCCCTCAGCCAGCTGAGGTTCCCAGGACAGCAAGCCAGAACTGTCAGCCTCTGACTGGATGCTCCAGGAGACAGACCCATCCTAACCATCAGCACCAACTCAGCACTGTGGTCCCCAGGCCCAGCAAGGGTCAGGCAACTGGCAGCAATGCCCAGAATCCTGAGTCCCACAAGTCCAACACTCTCAACAGTGACTTTACCTCACTACAGAGGGACCCCAGTCCCCCAAAAGGACAGTTCATAGAATGTTCCAAGCAGGGGACTCCAAAGAGCCCAGAAATTCTTCAGGGCAGTCATCAAGAGCTCCAGGGCCTCCTGAGCCAGGTACAAGCCCTGGAGAAGGAGACTGCCCACAGTGTGGATGTGCAGGCCCTGAGGAAGCTCTTCGAGACTGTGCCCCAGCTAGAAGGGGCTGCCCCTCAGGCGCCTGCTACCCCACAGAAGACTGACACTTCGATGGAGCAGGCATTTGGGGAACTGACTCGGGTGAGCACAGAGGTTGCAAGGCTGAAGGAACAGACCCTGGCCAGGCTGCTTGATATTGAAGAGGCTGTGCACAAGGCCCTAAGCTCCATCTCTAGCCTCCAGCCTGAGGCTCACAAGAGGGACCATGCCCAGAAAACTCCAGAGGAACCCAGTGCCCTCAAAGTCAGTGTCTCAGTCGGCAGCAGAGTCAGGCCCGGTTGTTCAAGCCAGGAGGTCAAAGATCCAACTGTAGTCAAGAGCCAAGGCAAGGTTGAAAGCCATCCTGTAGAGCAAAGTCAAGCCAAGACCAGAAATCACACAGAGAGCAGAGATCAGGCAGCCTCAAATGTCCTTCCTTCCAGGAGGCTGGAGACATCAAGAAACGATTCTGGCCTCCAATGCATGTTGCCCTCTAACAGTGGCTCCCCCTCCTCCCCAACTTTCATCTCTATACAGTCAGCTACAAAGAAGCTTCAGGAAGCTTCCAGTACTTCAGACAGCAATCACATCTCAGGGAAAAGCACGCATGCAGCTCAGGACATAGGCCAAGCTCTGCTCCACCAGAAAGGTATCCAGGACAACGCTGGGACAAAGGAGGTGATCACTGAGTGCTCTATGCCCACTGGGCAGCAAAAGAATATTCTGGAGTTACAGGCTGGGTCAGCTGGCTCCCAGTGCTATGGAGCCACAAGAACAGTGACTGAACAGTATGAGGAGGTAGACCAGTTTGGGAACGTAGTCCTCACTTCCGCTACCACCATCACAGAGCAAGCAGAGCCACCCAGGGGCCCAGGCCCACATCTCCGGCTCCGCACTTCTCCCTTGCTGAGGCAGTTCCTACAGAACCCCACTGGGTTCAGCAGTGGCCTGTCAGAAACAGAGATGGCATGGGTACCCTGCGGTCACTTCCAATGAGCTGCCCAGTGAGCCTCTCCGTCTTCCATCCATCTTGGGTGACTCCCCCAGGTCAAGGACCAAGAAGCATGGGTCTTCTGAGAGCTGTGGAGGGCTATTTGTCTTGTGTCTTTCCAGTTCTTGCAAAATGGACAAGAAAAGTGAAGCCCACAGAATAATGCAGGCATGGGATGGGACCTGACAGCTGCTTGTGGAGGATGTGCAGACACACACATGCTCCTGATACAGGCCCAGTCCATGCTTGCACCCATGTGAGTCTGCACTTCATTTCCAAGAGTTGGAGAGACTCCCCTCTACCATGTCCCTTCACCATTGGCCTTTATTTCTTTTATTATGGAGTCTGAAGGTCTTCACCCAGCCACTTCTTAATACCTGGTGAAGACCAGGCTTACTGGACTGGACATGATGCTAGTTTCTGTTAGGGATTTGTCTGAGGGTCCCAGAAAGGCCTGGTCACCTGCCCCTTCATCACCAGTGGTCCAAAGTTTACACAGAAAGTCCAAGCAGTCAACAACGTTCCTAGAAGCCAAATGCATTGTCCTCTCTACCCCTACCACCCCCACTCTGTACCCCAAATGGGAAACGTGATCTGAATAAACCCAAGGATGATTCTCTATTCTGTGTGTATGCCTGTCCCAGAGTCTGTGTTCACATGGAAAAAAATTCATACCACCACAGCTGCTCATTCTAGCAACCCCAGCATTATTGCTGAAAAGCTACCATTCTCCAAGATGAAGACCAAGAAACAGAAATTTCCTTCCCAATCCCCTGTTCCCCTTGTCTTCCTCGGAGTACAGAAAACAATAACATAGCCAGACCTCTACAACACAAACACACAACACACACAGACATTCACACAACACACACACCACAGACATCTATACAACACACACACAACACACACAGACATTCACACAACACACACACCACAGACATCTATACAACACACATACAACACACACAGACATTCACAAAACACACACACCACAGACAGACATCTATACAACACACACACAACACACACAGACATTCACAAAACACACACACCACACACAGACATTCACAAAACACACACACAACAGACAGACATCTATACAACACACACATAACACACACAGACATCCACACAAGATACACACACACTCACACAACACACAACACATACACTCACATGCCACATAACACACACACAATACAAACACACACTCCTATACACATCAAACACAAACACTACACACACTACACATACACACATATACATAACACATATATATACAGAAATATATATATATATCACAGACACACCCACCACTAACATACGCACACATACTATATACACACACACCACTGACACACCACACACATACCATATATATAATACATATCACACAGAGACATACATGCATACCACAGACATGCACGCTACCCCCACTTCCTCCAGCCTCCCTCATGGTGCTCTTGGATGTCATCCTAGGGCCGTTCTTAGTATCCTGCCCAGAGTAGGAAAGCAACCCCACCAGACCAGAGAAGGGGAGGTAGGGGCCCCTCCCACCAGAATTCCCATGCCCAGGATGGCTCGACCACTTCTTGTTCTCAGTGGGTGCTTTGTGACAAGCAAGAAGTGGTTCTTTGGGAAGAAAGCAATCAGATCCTGACTGGAAAATGCAGTGATTTGGTGAAAGCCCTTTTCACTGCCTTTCAAAAACCATATGCCAGGCCTATTGTAGGTCACAGGGATGACAGCAAGTGTACTGGGATCCTGCTGTCAGGAAACTGATGTTTTTAAAGATGAGGAGAGGGGGAGGCTAGAAAGATGACATCAGGAATAGGGTGGTTGCCTAACTGGGCTGCCTTCCCACTCCAAGACTGCAGCTGTGACACATAGAAGTGTGACCATGACAAAGGATAGCCTGAGAGAGGTGGCAAGGACAGGCCTCCCTATGGAAGAAATTTGAGATCTGAATGCAAAGAATCAGCTAGCAACAGTCAGAGAGGAAGGTTTGGGAGGCAGAGAGAACGGAACTCACAAAGTGAGTAGCACAAACTTATAATCCCAGCACTGCTTGGGAGGTAGAGGCAGGAGGATCTCTATGAGTTTGAGGCCAATTTGCTCTCCATACTAAGACCCTGTCTCAAAGAAACAAAGGGCTTGGGAGGGGCTGGAGAGATGACTCAGGAGTAAAGAGCACTGGCTGCTCTTGTAGAGGACTAGGGTTTGGTTCCCAACACCCACATGGGGACTTACAACCATCCCTAACTCCAGTTCCAGAGGAATCTGACACCCTCTTCTGGACTCCATGGGCATTTTGCAACACAGGTGCACTCAAATACCGGCAAAACCCTTATCATACACATAAAATAAGAAATAAAAGGCATGGGAGTAGGGATGTAGCTCAGTGGTACTTTGCCTGAAATGCATAAGGCCCCAGGTTCAATCCTCAGTACCATACAACAACAACAATAATAAAGTAAAATAAAACCAAGTCTACATGTCTGGGCCACATGTTCCCATATTTCCAGGCCCCTCGATGTCTCTCTACCTATCATGAGCCCTCACTTAGTTACAGGCTCCAAAGCTTAACACACAAGTGTTTCTTTAATGTAAAATGGTCATGATTATAGTGCCTACAATTGTGAAGATGAAGTGAATTAATAGAAGTTAAGTATTTCGAGGTAATGCTATACCTGTATTACAATTTGTGGGAGAGGTTGTTTTCTTATTTCGACTTTTAATAGACTTTTTTGAGATAAGGATTTCATTATGAAGTCCTATCTGGCCTAGAACTTGCTGTGTAGACAAGGCTGGCCTCAAACTGACAGAGGTCAGCCTGCCTCTGCTTCCCAAGTGCTAGGATTAAAGATGTATGCTACCGGTGCCCAACATTTTTTTGTTTGGGTTTTTTTTTGGGGGGGGGGTGATGTTTGTTGTTTTGGTTTTTTTTTTTTTTTTCCTGTATGAGTGTTTTGCATGCAAAGTATGTAAGTGTGCCTGTGTGTGCAAACCCAGGAAGGCCAGAAGAGAGCGTTGGATCCCCTGGAACTGGAGTTGTAAGCACCATGTGGGTGCTGGGAACAAAACATGGGTCCTCTTCAGGATTAGCCAGTGCTCTTAACTACTGAGCCATCTCTCCAGCCCATTGTTATGTTTTGTTTTGTGAGAATATCACAGAGCCCAGGTGGGCCTCAAACTTGCCAAGTAGCTGAAGATGATTTTGAACTCCTGATCTCCTTGTCTCTACCTCTCGCGACCTGGAATTGCAGGCATGCGCCACCACTGGAATATTTTAAAAAATATATCTCCCTTCTCGCCTGCAGGAGAATCCTGGTGTTGTTCATTTTGGTTGCACGTCAAGTTAAATGAATACACAAGTGAACAAAACGACTGCGTCAATCTGCGGATTCACCCCACTGGCATTCAATAGCGCTTCGTGCCAGGATCTGTTCAGGGTGCTAAAAATAGAGATGAACAAGGCGGGATTTATCCTTGACCTCGTAGGACTGAAAGAGTAGACAATATATAAGCAAATTAGATCATTTTACACGAGAGAAATACTGCGAATGAAAAACAACGTCAGTCCACAAGGGCAAGCTGCTTCGGGGAGTGCGGCAGCAGACGTGACCTAAATGACTGAGGCGCTGGTCGCGTGTGCAAGGAGGTGACAACCTAGCGGGAAGACGGGGTGGGTGAGCGCAGCTGGGAAACCCTGGGTGCTGGGTGCTGGGTGCTGGGTGCTGGGTGGCCCGCCCAAGCCCTGCACACCTGCAGCCACACCTGCCGCTGCACCTGCCGCCCGGCCGGCGCTCCGCCCTTCTCCAGGAGCTAAGAGCCAAGCCAGCCGCGCCCAGACCCCGCCCCCGGAGCCGGCGGGGCGTGGTCCCACAGCCGTCGCCTAGGTAACGATGACGTCGCGGGCAGCAGAGTTCGGAACGTTCAGGCAGCGGCTGGTTGCCGGGAAACGCCCGGCAGGCTTGCAGCCAGGGACTGGCTCCCGGATCAGACGCCGGGCGCCAGGACGCGCCGTCCTGGCCAGCCCTTGCGCGGAGCCTCCCTCCTGGATTCCAGACGGATGCCGGGTTCCGGTGCTCACCCACGTTCCGGACCTCCCTCCCTCCCAGCAGGGCGCCTCGTGCCTCCACGATACCCTCTGTCATTGCTTCTGTCTGGATTCGTCCTCTGTCTTCACAGCCATAACTCTGCCTCAGGCCACCATCCATCTCCGGCCTCCGCAGTGATCCTCTGGGATCGCGTTGGTCCTGCACCAGGCAGCCAGTACTACAAGCAGGAGTTATACTAGATCAAATCAGTCAGCTGGGCCGAGTGGTACCAGACCTGTAAACCTAACTGATCCGGAGATTAGGGCAGGAGGATGGCAAGTTCAAGGCCAACTTGGGCAATTTAGGGTTAAGAGTTGGGGCAGGCGAGATAGTTTAGCAGATAAAGGCCCTTGTGGTCCAAGCCTGGCAACCTGAGTTCGTGCCTCAGAACCCACATAAAAGGTAGAAGGATAGAATAGACAAAGCTGTCCTCTGACGAGTCCACATGCAAGCAGTGGCACGCAGATCGTGCATACATACAATAAGTATATGTTTAAAATTAGTTCTAAATGTTAGAGCCAGGAGTGGTGGCACACCTGTAGTCCCAGTAGGTAATTCCACCTGTAAAGTCTGACTTGTGCACCAATGAGTTTATTAGATTGAAGGAAGAAGAGGACAAGTTCAAGGCCTGTCTGTACTACAGAGTTCAAGGCCAGCTGGGTAACTTAGTGAGAGCCCCCCCACCCCCAACTTAAAATGTAGGGCCAGGCATGATAACTCACACCTATAATCCCAGCACCTGGGAGGAAGAGGTAAAAGATTGCTGTGAGTTTGAGGCAATCCTGGAAACACAGTAGGGCATTGTCTCAAAAAGCCATAAATAAATAAAAGTAAATAAGTAATTTTTTTTTAAATAAAAAAATGGCTAGGGGCTGGAGAGAGAACTCAGCAGTTAAGAACACTGGCTGGTCTTGCAGACGGCCTGGGTTTGGTTCCCAGCACCCATATGGCAGCAGCTAACAACCGGCAGTAACTCCCATTCCAGGAGAACTGATGCCCTCTTCTGGCCTCCTCAGGCATTGCATGCATGTGGTGCACTTCTGTACATGCAGGCAAAACACTCATACACATAAAAATAAACCAAAACCAAAAGTGTTTACTGCTAGAGATATGGCTCAGTGATAAAGTATTTTTCTTAGACACACACACACACACACACACACACACACACACGCCACTCCTGCATCAAATGTTACACCCCCCCACCCACCCACTGGCTTCCTAGGTTATTAGGTCTGGAATCTAAACTGTCAGGAGCCTGTAAGACCAGAACAACTTGACTCTCTGCATTCCTCTCACTTCCTTGCCCCCCATTACTCCTTAGTCACACTAGCTTTCTATATAAAACATACCAAGCTGATTGGTGCCCCAGGACCTTTGTATTTTCCATCTCCCTTTTCCAGGAGGCCTCTTCTCCCAGATCTTTTGTAAATGAGCTCCTTACTCAGTTCTCAATCCAAGGTCCCTTTTGACAGACTTTCTCTAACCTTGGTCTTGTGGTATGGTTTTTTTCCCCTCAGGGCAAAACTTGATCTTCCCATCATCATCTTGGAGGTGAGGTTACCTCAGTTTGGTAGCCATGACAACTAATTGAGCAAAACAATACAGTGCTAGCTAGTTGCTCCTTAATGGAGCAGTTAACTTTCCCTAATAGGAGGGTGGGGAGGGTCACAGGAGCCTCACTTGGAATTCCAGCCCTGTCTCCTCCCTACCCCCCACCCCAAACTACAAGTGATCTTGGAAGATACTAGTGTGTATACAGGAAGCAGAAGATTCCAGGATGCCGCTTCTGTAAGGTCATCAACCATGATGAAGTGGGACTTTTCAGTGATACAGAAGTTTGAGGGTCACCCACGCTACTGTAAGTAATTGCTCATCCATGCTCTGTAATAAATTCAATAAACTCAAGAGTCCACAGAGTAAGAGTTTGGTGGAACCCTTACTTTGTTCTGTCATCAGTGACTCATCTGTGGTGAGTTTGTTCATTTCTTCCCAAGAAAAGTTAATCCAACACATGCCCCAGCCCTTTTCTCCTCTCTAAAGAGAAGGGCTTCCTCCCAAATTTCATGCCCTTTCAAATTTTCCCTAAAATCTATCAAAATATAAACTGAAGGTGCTTGAGAGATGATGGCTCAGCAGTTAAGAGCCCTTGTTGTTCTTGCAGAAGAGCCAAGTTCAGTTCCCAGCACCCACCACGTGGTCAGGTGACTCACAATGGCATGCAGGGCTCCAATCCCTCATCTGGCCTTTTAGGTCACCTGCATGCACATGCATATATATATATATATATAATTTTTTTAAATCCTTCTTAGGGGCTGGAGAGATGGCTCAATAATTAAGAACACTGGCTGCTCTTGCAGAAGACCCCAGTTCTAATCCCAGCACCCACATGCAGCTAACAACTGTCCATAATTCCAGTTCCAAGGGATCTGATGACCTCTTCTGGCCTCCTCAGGCACTGCACGACATGGGTACACATGCATGCAGGCTTAACACTCATACACACATAAAAATATAAATAAAAATAAAATATAAAGTTAAAAAAAAATCCTTCTACATAGCAAGTTTCAGGCCATCTGTGGCTACAGGGAAACCATGTCTCAAAACAAAACAAAGGATCTTTAAGAATATAAATGGGGTTCTGGAGAGATGGCTCAGCAGTTAAGAGCACTAGCTGCTCTTGCAGAGTGCAGAGAATCTGAGTTCAATTCCTAGCACATGGTGGCCAACAACCCTCTGTAACAATCCTCTGTTCCAAGGTATCTGAGTCCTCTTATGACCTCCAAGGGCTTTGCAAGACCACCTATAATTGCAGTTCCAGGGGATCCAGCACCTTCTTTTGGCCTCTGTGGGTGCTGTAGGACATGGGTGCACTTACAAACATGCAGTCAATATACTCATACACATAAAATAAAAATAATAAATAAAATATTTTGCCGGGAGTGGTGGCACACGCCTGTAATCCCAGCACTTGGGAGGCAGAAGCAGGTGGATCTCTGTGAGTTCAAGGCCAGCCTGGTCTACATAGTGAGTTCCAGGACAGCTGGGGCTACAGGGAGACCCTGTCTCAAAAAGACCAATAAATAAATAAACAAATAAATAATAAATAAATAAATAAAATATTTTTAAAAACAGAGCCAGGCACGGTGGCACTCACCTTTAATCCCAGTACTTGGGTGACTGAGGGAGGTGGATTTCCATGAGTTCAAGGACAGCCTGGTCTACATAGTGAGTTCCAGGCCAGGTGGGTCTACAGGGAGACCCTGTCTCAAAGAAACCAAAAAAGAAAAAAAGAAAAGCTAGATCCAGTATCATATAAAGTCTATAATCTCTTTGCCCCTACCTGAAGATGGGAGGCAGGGACAAGAGACACCCTACATAGCCTATGTAGCAGTGAATGATCAGAGATACTGACTCAAAACAATGTGAAAGACCAAAACCAATATCCAAAGACATCCTCTGACCTCTACACATATGCAGCAACAGACATACACACACAAATAGTGACTTCCACAGAGGCAGGGACAGTGCTTGCTGCCCCGCCCACTCAGGGACTACAGTTGGCAGTCACCTCAAGGATGGTGAATAAATAAATCATGAAATGAATGAATGAACCTGTGCCCTGACACGCTGGCGCTGGCTGCAGGTGCCATGCTCTTCGTGCATTATAACTAAATGACCTTTCACCTCTTTTCACGATAACTCTTATTTTGGGGTATCTGGGTATGTCTTCATCACTAAAGTCCTTTATGCCATTTGTCACACTGCTTTGCATTCAGTGGGCACTGAATTCTGGTGCAACATCAGATAGAATCACACAATGATGACTTACAACATCAATTCCTGAATGGCTTTCACCCCTCTCTGCTGATGGCCTTAGGTCAATATTTCCTCCTTTTTTTAAAATTTATTTTTATTCTATGTTGTGCTGGATAGCTTTAGTGTCAACTTGACACACCTGGGTTGAGGGAGCCTCAGTTGGGGAATTGCCTTTATTGGACTGGCCTGTGGCCATGTCTGAGGGGCATCTTCATGATGAGTGATGTGGGAGGGCCCAGCCCACTGTAGGTGGTGCCACCCCTGGGCAGGTGGGCCTGTGTTGCATAAGAAAGCAGGCTGAGCAGGGGACAGGGGAGCAAGCCAGTAAGCAGCGTTCCTCCATGGCCTGTGCTCCAACTCTTGCCTCCAGGTTTCTGCCCTGAGTTCCTACCTTGGGCTCCCTGATGAACTGTCACCTGGGAGATGTAAGCAGAATAAACCCTTTCCTCCCCAAGTTGGTATTGGTCGAGTATTTTGTCACAGCAATGAAGAACAAACTAGGATAATCACCTTCATGAAGAACCAAATCTCTTTTCCTTGTTGTTCAACCTGTTTACCAAGGATGAGTCCAAGAACACAGTAGGCACTCAATTCATGCTTTAGGGTGAATAAAGATTTGTCTTTCAAATTGTCATTGGAACCCAGTTTTACTACTCTTCTCATTGTTGAGACAAAATACTTGACAAAAGCATCTTAAGGAAAGAAGGTTTATTTGGGATCACAGTTTGAGGGCACAGTCCATCGTGGTGGGGAAGGCATGGCTGCAGGACCGTGCAGGACCTGGTCACATTCAGGAAGCAGAGAGCGATGAATGCTGGTGCTCAGCTTACTTTCTGTTTTATTCAGTCAAGGACCACAGCCCATGGCATGGTGCCACCCACAATCAGGATGAGTCTTCCCACCCAAATGCCCCAACTCTAGAAATTCCCTCACAGATATTGCCCAGATGGTGATTCTAGATCCCATCAAATTAATAATGAGATTAACTGTTACACCTAGTGTTTGTATTACAAAGTGGCAGCCAAGTTATAGCTTTTTAAAACTACATTAATTTATTTTACTTATTTGGTGGGGGTGGGGGAGGAGTACATTTATGCCATGCCATCCGTGTGCAGATCAGAGAACCATTTGCAAAAGCTATTCTCTCCTCCCACCATGTGGGTCCCAGGAATGGAACTCAGGTCACCAGCCTTGGCTACAAGCCTCTTTACTGACTGAGCTATCTCACCAGCCCTAGCTTTTTGTTTTCTTTTGGGGAAGGGAGGTCTGACAGTTTCCTACTATAAAGGGTTTTGGAAAACCCAGTTTGCCTTTTCCCATTCTAAACTCTGGGAATATCCAGACGATGTGGTTTTGATAGGCAGGTCTTGGAAGGAGGAAAGTGGCTGCAGGGAATGGAGCTTTGGGGAGGTACAGCAGGCAGCAGAGGGTGCTGGAACCCCTTAGGGCAATTGCAGGGACCTGGGTCAGAGGTGGCCCTGTAACTGTCCTGGCAGAAAGGAGAATATTCTAGCTGGGCATGGTGATTTGTGCTTTTAATTACAGCACTCAAAGGCAAAAGCAGACAATATCTGTGAGTTTAAGTCCAGCCTGGTCTAAATATGTAGTTCCAGGCCAGCCAAGGCTACATAGAGAGAAAGACCCTGTCAGAAAGAAAGCAAGAAAGGGGGGGAGGGAGGGAGGGAGGGAAAAGAAAAGAAAGAAGGAAAGAAAGAAAGAAAGAAAGAAAGAAAGAAAGAAAGAAAGAAAGAAAGAAAGAAAGAAAGAAAAGAATGAAGACATTGTAAAGAATACTTGTACCTTGCCTTAGGCTATGGATCCTAAGAAATTGGAATTTCCCCAGGAATCTCATTGTGGAGGGAGGAAAAGCCTGAAGCTCTGATGCCAGTCAGAGGAGGAACTTGTCTTCCAGGAAGAAATTTCCCAGTCCCAACAATTTGTCAGACCACCTCAACATGTGAACCTGGAGCAGAGACAAAGATGGGTCAGCGATGGGTGGGGAACACACCTTGATCAAGACTGCTGGGTTAAGTATCTGGCTTGCCCTCTATTTAAACTTAAATCTCATAAGGACCCAAACGATGGACTTTATGTGTTCAATGGACTCCTTTGTTTTTCTCATTGTGGCTACACTGAATAAATCTCTTTTCTCAGCTTTTCAGTATTTCTTTGTTAAATTGCTCTACTGAGGGTGGGTGGCAGAGCAGAGCTTGTCAGGGGTACCAGGGATCAAGCTCTGACGACTCCAGTAACAGCCCGGAAGCAGCATGCAAACCTGCTAAGTCTCAGATTCTTTGCTTTCTTATTCATAAGGGCATGCCATGCGATCTCTCCCAAACCCTGGAGCCTATACAATCTCTCTTCCCTTTGTCCACTTTTCTTTGAGGGTGGTTGCAGGTGCCATTCAACCCAAGTCAGAGAAAACAGCCCAGAGACCCAGCTGCCCTGCCTCCAGGTTCTGATAGGCTTCCCAAATGGTTCTCTCTCCCCTAAACCCCTACATCTCCACTGATGATCCATGTGCTTGTGTTTCTATAACAGCCTCCCCAAACCATGGCTCCTCCCATCCCAGGCCTGCCTCTTCTCCACCTCCACCTTAAAATTCCCCAGCTGTGGGCGGTTCAAACCCTTCCTGGCAGCTGCTGTGTTTATCAGTCCTTCCTTCTAGGGCCTGTTGTTTTTCTGTCCTAACTGTGTCACACTATTCGATTTGGCCAAGGGCCAACCTACCCATTAGGTACGGTAGTCATCCTGCCTGAGGCCTGAAATACTTTTAGGGACCTGTGAAAATGTTGTCACTTCTTTAAAAATCTGAAGGGGGAAAGAAGAGTTTTCAGACAAAACAAATGTTTCCTTTTTGCCTTTTGTTTTGCTGTTTCAGACTGGTCTTGCTATATAGCCCTGTCTGGAACGGAACTCATTATGTAGACCAGGTTGACCTCAAACTTGCAGTGATCCTCTTGCCTTAGACTCTCAAGCGCTGTGATTTACAGTCATGTATGTGCTACCACACCTCATAAAAAAATGATTGTTTTTGAGACTGGCCTTGAACTCACTGTGTAGGTGAGGATGACCTTGAATTTCTGATCCTCAGGTCTCCACCTTGAGAAAGTTGGCCCCTGAATGCTAGGCAAGCATTCTACCAACTGAGCCACATCCCCAACCCCTAAGAAAATCTTTACTATATAGCATTCACATATTCATCTTTATTTTACCACAGTTATAGGGTTGATAGGGAGAGAGACCCCTTTGAAAGTAGAAGTGTCCAGGGTCTACAAGTCCTAAAGCCAACAAAAACGTCTTTCTTTGGCCCCAGCCTCAAAGTCCTGCAGCCCTGCCAGAATATGCTGTGCGTCTCCCCAGATGCACCCTGCTCTCTCTCTCTCTCTTGGTACTCTCTCCCAGCCCTGGTCGAGCAGTGGACTTAGATGCCATGCTAACTAACTTCTGGGGAAACTTGACTAGGTTCAGCCAAGGACCTGAACGCTGCACTGCCTGGAGTGGCCCAGGAACAGGTCCTGGGAGCTTGCATGGGGGAGAGGAGCGGAGAGGAGGGGTAGGTCCTGGGGAAAGCACAGCACCAGATGGGTGAGGGGGTAGAGTGGAACTACCGCGGTGCCAGGACCTGCAGCTGTTCGGGAATGTGCTGTAGGGGTCGGGTCCTGGGGAGCACACAGCCGGGGAGGGCTGGGTCCTGGGGGTGGGGGTGGCACAGCGCTGCAAAGACTCGCAGGTGCCTGCAGAGGGTGTGCAGGTGTGCGGTGGGAGGCGGGCCCCCGGGAGCGCGAGGGGTGGGAGGGGTGGGTCACCAGGGCTTGCAGCCGAGGAGGGGAGGGGTGATTCCTCGGGGCGGGGGGGGGCGGCATCAGGGCAGGGGCGGATCGTGGGAGCCCGCAACCAGGTCCTAAAACCCCGGCCCCGCCCACCCTCCTCCCTAGTTAGGTTTCTTACGAAAAAGTGTGGCTGAGAATTCCCAGAAGGTTCCGGATGTGAAGTCACTGGCGTGAGGTCACCGGCGCCGTTCCAGGAATCCAAACCTTGTGGGCGAGAAAGGAAAGGAGCCAGAGAGAGAGAAAGAAGTCTTGGAGGGTGAGGGGTGGGGGTAACTAGCTCCGCTGAGCCCAGCCTCCTCTCCCAAAGAGATTGCAAGGAAGCGATGCTTCACCCTGCCGTACTTTGAGAAAGGCCGGTTGAAAGTAGAGATAACCGAGCCCTGTGAGCCAAGATCAAAAAGTCCGGTAGAACACGCTGTGGGGGCAGATGAAGCAACAGGATTATCTTCCTTTGTTATCGGGGAGAGGGTCTGCGGGTTTGGAGAAAAACTTGCAAATATGACCAGAATTTTAAATGAACATGCCCTTTGACCTAACAACTGTACATCTAGGGATGTGTCCTCAGGACATGCAGAAGGATAAATGTGTAAGGTGGGGCAGCAATTGTTTTTAAAAGGTGGGGTAGCAATTGTTTTTAAAAATCCAAGACCTAGCTGGGTGTGGTGGCTCACCCCTTTAATCCCAGCACTCAGGAGGCAGAGGCAGGTGGATCTCTGTGAGTTCAAGGCCAGCCTGGTCTACATAGTGACTCCAGGACAGCTGGGGCTAACAGAGAGACCCTGTCTCAAAAAGCCAAAAAAAAAAAAAAAAAAAAAATCCAAGACCTAAATATCTGTTTGTAGGAAACTAATTGTTAAAACACTGTGTTAGGAAAACTGGCTTTGTTTTTAAGACCAGAGTTTTGTAGCTCTGCTGACCTGGAACTTCATGTATATAGCCTAGGCTAGCCTCGAACTCCCTGTCCTCCTGCCTCTGTTCCCTGAGTGCTGGGATTACAGGCATGTACCTGTTGATGGGCCAAATGTCCAAGACACATAATAAAACCCAAGAGTGCCCTGCTTACTCTTTTGCTCCCTGTTACAGTCAATTTTTTTTTTCCTTAAATTATGTAGTTCAGAAAACTGGCCTGGCATGGTGGCACACGTCTTTAATCCCAGCACTTGGGTGGCAGAGGCAGGCAGATCTCTGTGAGTTCAAGGCCAGCCTGGTCCAAATGTGTTCCAGGACAGCTGGGGCTACAGGGAGACCCTGTCTCAAAAAGACGAAGAAAAAAAAAAGAAAGAAAGAAAGAAAAGAAAAGAAAACTGAAACCAGGATGCTGTGCCTGCTGGGAAGCGCTAGTCTAGAAGGGGAGGCCATATGAAGCAGTGGTAGACTTCTGGATGTATTTTGACAATAGAACTGATAGAATTTGCTGATGGGTAGACCAGATGTAGATGTGAGAGGAAGAGGCCCCAAACAATGGCGTAACCAGAAACCAGAGCTGTCTTTTTACCAGAATGGGGAAAACTGTGGGAGGGACAAGATTTGTAGGACTAGGGTGAAGAATCCAAGGTCTGAGTTGCTTACGTGGGTCAGGAGTTCAGGAGAGCTGTTTGGAATTTGAACAAGAGAAGGTCCCAGAGAAAAACAGCTGGCATGTTGAACTGAGAAATTTGAGGAGGCCTTTGTGAAAAGTCTTCACAAGTGGAGCAGCCTGTACAGAGCCATGAGGACAGCACCCAACGCTGGCTAATAAGGGACTTAACCATCCACAGTTCCAATGGAGAAAGGGGAAGAAGAGGAGACTGAGCAGGGCATAGTGGCACAGTCCTATAATCCTGACATTGGGAGGGGGTGGGGCTGAGGCAGGAAAATTGTGTTTGAGGCCAGCCTGGGCTACATAGCACAAACCTGTCTCAAAAGAAGAGAGGAGGAAGAAGAGTTGCTACTGGAACCCAGAGACAGAGAAAGCCAAGTACAGAGAATGGAGATGAGACATCCAAGGAAGGGGATTAACTCATCCAAGAAAGGGGGTTAATTTTTTGCTGTACAGGTTGGATGTGGCCAACTGGCATGAGCTGAGGCTTTGTTATATATAGCCAGGCCATGGCAACCCTGGGGGTGAGGGGGAGACACACATCTGACTTCACTCTCCTCTACTCCTCCAAAACCACTGGGAAGCCTGAGGCCAAGGGGGCCCATAGACAGCCTGCTGAGGTCAGGCCAGCACAGAGCAGGGAGGAAGGAGGTGGAGGGGGTGATGGGGGGCTGGGGCCAACAGGAAGAGACCATAGATGCTAAGCCATGATCCAGGGATTGGAGGCAGGAAGAAAAGGAAAGGAGGTCGCTGCCCTCAACATTTAAAGATTGAGAGAGAAGATAAGAACAAGGAGACAGTCTTCCTAATGAGCAGCGAGACAGAGGACCTGAGCTCAGCCAGTGGCCAAGGGAGGCAGGAGTGCTGAGCAGGACAGAGACAAGGAGGGGAGAGCAGGATGGCACAGCACTCCTGATAAGCCAACTAATCTGAGAGAGAGACACAGAGAGAGAATGTATTTTTTGGTTACATTTTTTTAATGTATTATCTGCATGTATGTAAGTACACCTGTGTCATGCAATGCCAGAGGAGGTCAGAAGAGAGCATCAGATCCCCTGGAACTGGAGTGACCAACAGTTGTTAGCCTCCATGTGAGTGCTGGAAACCGAACCTAGGTCTTCTGCAAGAGCAGTGCTCTTAACCACTGAGCCATCTCTCCAGCCCTTGGTTGATTTTTGAAACAAAGTATCAGTCATGTAGCCCAAGCTGGCCGCAAGCTGGTTATGTAGCCAAGGATGACCTGAACTGATCCTTCTGCCTCCAAGTGAAATTACAGCTATGAGCCACCATACCCAGTATATGCAGTTAGAAATGAAACACCCAGGGCCTCATGTGTGAGAGGCAAGCACTCTACCAACTGAGCCACATCCTCAGTCTTAGAATATTTCTAAAAAGTGACAAATAAACAATAGTGCCTCTAGCAAAGATACCTAGGGATAAAGAGAAGGAACCACCACTTTTCATTCCCTCCCACATAGATGACATATTTGTAGCTATTTAAGGATTTTGTCAAAGGGAAGAAAATATAGTTTTAACAAAAATGTTCTCTTGTGTCACGAGACATATGATAGGGAAGGGGCTGGGGACATGGCGCAGTGGGTTGGGTACAGTGTCTACCATGAAAACATGAGGCCCTGAGTTCAGATCCCCAGGTATGGCAACGTGTGTCTGTAACCCACGGCTGAGGAGAGAGGAGACAGCCAGATCTCCAGGGTTCACTGGCCTGCAGGTCTAACAGGAAGAGAAAGCTCAAGGTTCAGTGAGAGACTCTATCACAAAAGAATATGGTAGAGGGGCTGGAGAGATGATTCAGTGGTTAAGAGCATTTGCTGCTCTTCTAGAGGACCTGGCTTTAGTTCCTAGTGCCCACATGGCAGCTAACTATAACTCCAGTTTTAGGGCATCCAACACCCTCTTCTGGCCTCTTTGTGGTGTACACACATGGTACACTTACATACACACAGGCAAAATACTCATACACATAGCATAAAATAATAGTAAATAAAAATATCTTTATGTAATAAGATAGCAATTTTTTTATTTTTTATTTTATTTTAATTTTTTTTCTTTTTGAGACAGGGTCTCCCTCCAGCTGTTCTGGAGCTCACTAAGTAGACCAGGCTGGCCTCAAACTCATAAAGATCTGCTTGCCTCTGCTTCTCAAGTGCTGGGATTAAAGGCATGTGCCACCATGCCCAGCGAGAGCAAGTTTTAAAAATACTAAAGTGGAGGGCAATCTTAACAAGACCTTGACATCTACCTCTGACCTTCACACAAGAACACAGAGGTGAGCACACCCTTGTACACATGCATATACCCCCCCATACACTAAACAGTGAAGTAAACTTTTTAAATATTTTATTTATTTTTATTTTATATGTATGAGTGTATTGCCTACATGTATGTACATATGCCCATGCCATGCAACACCAGGAGTTCAGAAGAGGATATGGGATTCTCCTGGAACTGCAATTACAGATAGTTGCTATCTGTCATGTGGGTGCCGGGAATTGAACCTGGGTCCTCTGCAAGAGCACAGCCAGTGCTCTTAACTGCTAAGCTATATCTCCAGCCCCAGGATACCTTTAAAATTAAATAAGAGATAATTTTTTGGTGCTGTATATTGAATCCTGGGCCTCATACTAGACATATGCCTTACCCCTAAGCTACCTCCCCAGACCCAAGAGTAGGTCCAAGGTTTCCTCTAATGGACAGGAAGCCAGGCTTGGCATAACCCTAAGATTTCTGGAAGAGAGCTGGTAGCATCTGGGAGGGGTAATTCCAAGAAAGTTGCTAGAAGGGTCTCCCTGTGTCAGTCCAGGCAGTGTCTTTGAGAGTGATGACTTTGTAGGCCTGGATTAAACTGTGTCCTACTGTGAGGTATAATCTGTTTTGCTTGCTTGCACCTCATGAGACTTTAGGAAATTTGCTTTTTTCATATCTTAGTATCTCCTTTAAAAAGCTTTTTTACATTTACTTTGTGTGTGTGTGTGTGTGTGTGTGTAGGTCAAAGGACAACTTGCAGAAGTAACTTCTCTCCTTCCACTATGTGGGTTCAGGGATCAAACTCAAATCTTCAGGCTTGGTGGCAGGCACCTGTACCCACTGAGCCATCTCACTTTCCTGACATCTTAGTGTCTGTACTGGTTAATTTTTATTGTCAACTAGACACAAGCTAGAGTCACCTGGGAAGAAGAAACTTCAAGTGAAGCATTTCCTCTATCAGATGGGCCTGTGGCCGAGTCTGTAAGAGATTGTCTTGATTGACGATTGATTCAGGAGGAGGGCCCAGCCCACTGTGGGTAGCACCATCTCTAGGCAGGTCCTGGCCTGTGTAAGAAATCTAGCTGAACTTGAGCCAGTGAGTAAGGCAATAAGCAATGTTCCTCTGTGGTTTCTGTTTCAAGTTTCTGCTTAAGTTTCTGCCTTGCCTGATTTCCCTCAGTGATGGACTGTGGCCTGGAACTGTAAGCCAAATAAAGCCTTTGCTCCCCTAAGTTGCTTTTGGTCCTGTTATTTTATCATAGTAACATAAAAACAAATTCTTTGGTATATTTTTTTTAGACCAGGGTCTCGTGTATCCCAGGCTAGCCTCTAACTCACTATATAACCTATATAGCAGA